GTCGTTCGACTACGAACGTGCAACGTACGCAGTATCTCCATACTATTTTTATTTACAAAATACAATGATCGAAAAATGATTACAAAATTAGACAAAAATACCACTTTGCTAATAAATGGCTTTGTTTTTTAATTAGAAATTGGCAGACGCCGGATTTAGAAACTAATATACGACGCATCAACGGGTTCTTTTCCAATTTATCGTTTGTTCATGAAGTGACCAATCATACGTTTTGCGTTCGCGCAACTGTCCGCGGTTCGCGAGAACCAGGTGAGTCTCTCAATTAATTAATGCTTCGATTAAATTTATTTAAATAAAATTTAAAAAAATTTGTTATGTTGATCTAAAATAATTTTAATTCTTTTCGTGGTTCAACTTTCCATCTGCATAACATACTCTTGAAAAACCTTGGTTAATTAAAATCACGCGTAATTCATATGCAGTTATATAAAATAATTTTTAATAATCGCAATTTTGAGAATATTATATTACTACATATATTTTATTATTGTTTTATTCCATAATTAGAACCAGATGGAATAATCTTTAAAAACCACGATCGTTTCAGATATTTCATCGTCGCATGTATTTTATTTGAGGCAGAAAAACAATATTTTCCATCTCACAGGACCTCGTCTGTTCATCCTATCAAATTGTTTCAGATAGATATGTTATCTTATCGGTTAACGGAGACGGTATTACAGTAGCTCTAGAATTAGCGCAGGTCCTGGATAGAATTTATTCCGCGCACGATTGGCGGCCACGACGAAGTCTGATCTTTTGCATGTCTCTGATGTCCTCGGATGTTTGTGCACAGACTTTGCCTACTTTTATACGACAAAAAGTCGTGGCTTATATAGCGGTGCATAGCCGTTTTACGCGAGGTTCGTTCAAAATTCAAGGAATTCTATGCCATGAACATTAATACAGAGGAATTGTTTGATTTTAGCTAACAATCAGGTGACTTTATCCGGATCCGACGTGATACGATCAATAGCCGTCGAAGCTATCAAAACAATCCCTGATGGTAATTGGACATATCTCGAACATGAAGTGTTTGGTCCTCGACTTTCTTTGAATATTCCACAAGTGATATTTTTGTTCGTGAGTATATTTTCAATTCGATAAAATATATTGTTATGATATATATATAAGATCTCGATCATATTCTATCATAATCCTAATTTGTGTTTAATTCATAATATTAATTAGGAAAAAATTTCTGTATTAACTTGTTTTTCTTTTATGCAGAACGATAGTAATTCTGCAAACAGTCAAACGCATCATAATCAAAGTTTGCGGTCACGCGGAATAATTCTAGCGCAGATGATTAGTCAAACTATGTGGCGATTGTCCGAAAGTATATTTATTCAATGGGAACCAAAATATTTTAATGAAACCGTTAACGAGGTATTGGAATCAATCGACAGTAACAAGTTTCAGGACGCAAAGGGTATATCTTTCATTTTCCATTATTTTTGTAGTAGGATATTTAAAGAATCTAAATTACATATAGAATATGATTTTTTCAGAGAAGTTGAAGAGTACGTTGAGAGTATTACTTGCCGCGGTGAAGGATCTTAATGCAAAAATCGACGCGATGGAGAATATTCAGTAAATATAATAATGTATCAATTAATAACCCAAACATAAAATTCTGTTTATTATACAAATGACGCTGGGTCGTATCACGATTGGGATTAAGTTTATTAAGAAAATAATTTCAGAATAAAGCATAAAAAATTACAATACATTCTAGGATATTACGCGTAAGGATATGGAATGATTTACTTTTGGATCTGGACAAGGCGCTTTTATGCTTCGACGAAAACTTGCATCATTCTAGAACTGATCTAGCGACATTTCGCAAACGATTACTCGAATCTACCAGCGATACCTTGAATTACCTCGACGAGATAGCGAAATGTTATGAAGATGCTATACAAGTTTTACAGGAGAGATAGAAGAGAAGAAAAGAGATAAATCTTGATCATTTATTGTTATGCAATGTATGTGCCGATGTATATTTTTCATTATTTTGTTTTTATATGCAAAGTAATATAAGTGGCAGAATAGATTGAATCATTAAATTTATTAAATTTTAGGTTCCCTGTATTATAAAAAAATCAAAAGTTCTTTATAGTAATGTAAAGAATATTTTAGCACTTGTGCTTTACTTTGCATTGTTATCTTATTTTTATTGCCTATCCATGTATAGGTAAAATAATTTTGTTTTGCAGATAAGTGCAAAATATAAAATATATATTTCTATTTGTAATAAGTATCTCAAGTATAAAAGTAGTATAATATAACTCTCTTATTTCTATTCTCACATATGTCTAACATATGCTTTCTATATCACATTTCGTATCTCTCTCTTTAGAGCTAAAAAGCTTTGTTATATCTAAATTCGTGATTTGTGTCTCATGTAGAAGACACTAAGTTTTCTTTATATTAAGACAAAAATATTAAGTGTTAGATATTAATTTGTATGAATCAAATATATGATTTTCACATTTATATTCCAATCTCACCTTAGCCTAATCTCTCTCAAAATTGCGAAGCTACTGTTATGAAACTTACATTATACAGCATACATTAATACATTCATCTCATTATTTTGGTCCAATCACATTAAATAATTTTAAATGCATTGATTAATTTAATATCAATTATGTAACATTTTTATTATTTTAATTTATCGCACCCCACCTATACCATATCTTATTTCTCTCTCAAATTGCGACGCGTCAAGTGTCCCTTCTATAGCTTCACAATTTGGATTAAAGACAGAATAGGCGCTAGGCTCATCCCGTCGTTTCGGTCCAGATCTGGTGTTCAAACAGATAAAGACTAAAGCCGATAATACAAAGTAAACCGCACCAAACTCATATTTCACAGCGATAGCGTACAGTGTGACCCATAACAGAAAATATAATAAATAAATCACTTTGGTTATAACTGTACTTTTCGATTGTTGCACGTTTCCTTCCGACAAAACATCCTCTGCATCCTGGATATCCAAATGCTGTTCACACAATTTAACCTTGAAACAAAGGAAATTATAATTTTCATAGAGAGAAGAGACCGAGAACCTTATGGATCGAGGATAATCGGGTATAACCTCACCTCCTCCTCTTTCGTCAATTCTCCAGTGGATTTCTCGCTTCCATCATTGCGATTCCACGAAATCGCGTTTATCACGGAGCTCTTGATTGTCTCCATCATCTTCTCCTTATGTTTTTTACGCCGATAAGCCTCTAATCTCTCGTTTACCGACATCGTGATCAAGCGCGATCATAACGAATACATCGCGGTGACATTTGATGTGACGCGTCAGCTGTTCACGTTCACGAGCGCCGCTGACTTTACGGCGCTCGCGACTCGTCGATGTATCGAAGTATCGAGATAACTCAAATAGGTGTCAAATTTTTTCTCTTCTTATGTCGCAAACAATTTCTACAAATCTCTCTATTAAAAAAGAAAGTTGAATTAATAAATAGTTAATCAATAACTGAAACTACAGAAAATTATATCAAAATAGTTCTACAAAAATAAATTATACAGTCGCAAAAAATCGCATAAAAATAATAGAAATCAATAAAAAAAAAAATAAAAAATAAATTAATACTTTTATGATATATTTATTCTCTTTTATCTTAATTGAAAATTTTACTTTGGAATACTTTGGAATGTACTTCTTCTTTCTTCGTCTTTCTTATATGTGTATACAACAACAACAAATTTTTCAGATAAGAAATAATTTGTTCGTTTTCTTACGTACTTTTATATGTATATAAAAGAAAAGTCCGGAGATACGAGGCATTCCACAAAAAAATTATATTTTTTTTAAATCTTGAAGACTGTTCCAATTATTTTCTTGAAATTTACTGTGCGTTAATAGTGGCTAATGAGCTAAAATTTTTAGCGATTGAAAAATTCTGGTATCATCAATGGCATACAGGCGATTATTCATATCATTTTTTTTTTCTGTCAAAAACCCGACCTCAATAATAATAGATTTTTAAAAAATATAATTTTTTTATTGAACAACTCTTGTATTTCTAGAACTAAGCCGTTTATGACAAAAGTATATATAAACTTTTCTTCATAAAATCATCTAAGGACTTACTTCTTTAATCTTCAGAACATATACTTAAGCACCACTCTGTATATTCCACCGTGAACAAAAACGTGTGTCATAGTCTTTATCTTGACTAAAGTGATGGAGGATTATTTTGACTAGTGATATATAAAGTTATGTTGAAGGCTATGGCTATGGAAAGTATTAGTTATCATTTCGAAACAAATAGCCTTGTTGCTTTATTTCCTAGATAGCACATGTTCCTAAAAGACGACAGAAAGACGTCTTATCGTTCTTTAAATATCTTTAAGATGTCTTTTGGCCTTTTTGTGCTGTCTGGATTATTATCGCCTGTAGCAACCAATTCTACCATGAACATTAAGTATATTCGCTATTATAGTTACAAAATATTAGCGATTGCTTTAGCTGAAAATTTCTCATTCCAAAAACTCCTCATTCTTTATTAATCTTTTGAATTACTATGTTTAGAATTAGATTGTACTACATTAATATATAGTATATATAAAAGTGATTACTATTGAACAAGCCAATAATTAACAAACAATAACGAGCAAAAAAAAATCTTTACTTAGTTTATTCGCATATATTCTATATAATTGTAAAAAAATGGAGAGAAAATTGTTAACAATTAAAAAAACCAACTGCAGAGTCGGCTTTTATACTTATTAATCAATCTCATAAATTTATGTATATTTTGTGTCAGATAACCATTGATCATATATATCATTAAATTTAAATTTTTTCTTCTTTCTTATATAAACTTATTCCTGTTCTTCAAGTCAAAGAAATTAAATTTTAGAATACTAGTTTATGCAACCGAGAAATTCCCGTTGTGTGACATTCCAATGATTCCGCTTGACAAATAGAATAAATAAGTTGAAATAAGATAAAAACAAATAAAAATTTGATTGAGAAAAATGGATATAGATATCCATCAAATCTTTTTTCGATAACAGAAATGATTCGACCAATTAAAAAAAAGTCAGTTTTTTCATTAATATTATAATGGTTCTCACATATAAATCTTGGATAGAATCGTTATACAAAATTAAGCTAATAAAAAGACTTTTGTTCGTCGCTTATTTCTTTTTTATACGTATTTTGTATGTAATAAATGATGTAATGAATAATATTCTAAGCGATGTAACTCAGAATATTGACATCACAGATCGATATTATTAACGGAACAATAACAATGTCTATCTTATTTAAATTTCATTAAATAATGAATGAATCGAAAATGTAACAGAGCTACATTGCTTTTCAAATATGGCTTTATTCTATTCTTTTATTTATATATTATGTTTGCAGCGTATTATATAAGAAAGTTGTAAAACGGTGTGTTTTACATGTTCATTAAAAAGTTGCACCTAGTTATGCAATTTAAGTAATCTTATTTTAATTTAGACATTTAATCTTTATATATTCTTATATGATCAATTATTGAGAGAAAAATCTCATATGGCAAATTTAAAAAGATTTTTGATAAACTTTCTCTAAATAATATTTTTTTGTATGTGATTTATATGAATATCTCTAAAGAGCTGTTCATTTTCTATTTTAAAAACTTTAAAAAATATCTACATTATTGTAAATTGAACTCATTTTTATACATCATTACAATTTTTTAAATAATTTCTATAATATGTACAAATATGCATTTTTGTAAAATATTTTTGTATTCAGTTTGTGAAGAAAAAGATGAAAAATATTCTATTTATTATTATATCTATTTCTCCGGAGAACTCCGGAGATATATTGTTAACGGCAAGATTTCAGGCGACGTCAGCGACTGATCTTATGTAAGAAATTAGTCTCGTAGAAGTCATCGAAGCGAGAGCACGCGCATAAAAGTTCAACACGCGCGAACAATTATGTCACAATTGATTTGCGAGTTACATGACGATGTGCATGATGCTAATAATGGTGTAAATATGGAAAGTGTCAAGAGAAGTATCACTGATTTGACCAACAAGCCAGAAGGACACGTTCTGGTGCTTTACACGGGTGGCACGATAGGAATGGTGAGGAATGAACAAGGAGGTAGGTATACCAACACATATACAAACATCGCGTAATTTAGAGAAATTATAATGACTTTCAAGAAAGACAAATATTCTTGCAAATGAAAAACCATCATAGATTTCAATTTCTTATGTATTGTAAATCCTTAATATCTTAATTCTCCGATTTCACAAAATCATTTTTTTTCCTTTTTTTTATTATCTGAATCCATGGGGGAATCCTTGATATTTTAGATTCTTAATTTTTCTCAGAGTGTATGGTCTGTAAACTCTTATTTTCGCAGATCTCTTGCTCTTCTATACATGTTTCTGTATACTTTTACTTCTAGAGTGTTTCGTTTCGCACATTCTTTGTGTTTCATAGATTTTTCTACAAATAAATAAATTGATTCTCGATTCCACGGAGAATTTACACAGAGATTATAGATCTAAAAAATATAATTTATTTTATTTTAAATTTATGATTTTATCCTTGTCTTTTAGAATTTGAATTATCACATAATTGTTTCCATTTTTATCATCTTACAAGTGATAACAAATATTTATTTTCTAGTACTAGTACCGAGAGCCAATGCATTCATTAAGAATCTACGGAAATATCCTCAATTGCACGATCGCGAATATGCTGAGAAGAAATTCGGTGCGATGGGGCCATTGGTCCTGCCGTAAGTACAGATATGACCATATTCAGATTCATTGCAAAAATATGCAAAAATAAAGAATTGTTAAATAATCATTGAAAAAATCTCATTCTTATTTTTAAATTCAGAATTTTAATTTCATCTTTTTCCGTAAAAAAGAATCTATTTCAATTTTTACTCAAACGAAAATATTAAACTACCTTGTATCTTTCTTATTGTTAGATATGTCATTCCTTAATAAAACTTTTTATGTCATATTTATCATATTTATTAATATTGAATATTACACATTTTACGGTGAAAGTTTAAACAGTCGTCTGATTTTGTGCAAATCAGCGTCAATACGTTAAAAGAAGAAAAAAAATAGTAGAAGAATGATTTCTATGTGTTTAAAGACGAAAAATTGAGATTTCTTCTGCCGACTTTTCTCAATTCGCTTATTTTCTGTAGGAAAAGGCGAACCATGAAAGGCATTTCCAGCAAATTTACGGAAGAATTCGAATCAGTCCCACTTTACCCTTCGCTTTCCCTTGCGCAATTTTAAAAGTACTTTCCTTCTAATCTTGCAGCGTGACCGCAACCGACAATCGCCGGATCGTTTATAACGTGTTAGAATATTCTAATCTTTGCGACTCTAGTAACATGACTATGGACGAGTGGATTCGCATTGCTAATGATATCAAGGTATGTTGGCATATCAATATCGATGTTAGCGACAGAGAAACATCCCACATCAATATGCATTGCCTTTATCTAACATTTTAGTTCTTGTCTTATTTAAAGAGGATAATGAAGGTAAATTATCAAAAAGCGATTACATTTAATGGTGACACTTAATGACAAATAATTTGCACGTACATTTAATTTTTTTTTAAATAAACATTCAAGATAATTATACGGTGTTAAAATGTTAAATGTTTTTATTTATACTTTATATATATTTTAATAAACCGATGTTTTCTATCTGATTAAATTATCACAAGGTGATCTTCACGAGTTTTTCCTCTGCAGGAATCCTACGAGCACTTCGACGGATTCGTGGTCCTCCAGGGTACCGATACCTTAAGTTACACAGCATCCGCTCTGTCCTTCATGCTCGAGGCTCTAGGCAAGATTGTCATCCTGACCGGTTCGCAGATGCCGATTTTCGACACGAGGAGCGACGGCCTGGATAATTTCCTGGCGTCCCTTGTGATCGCGGCAAATTACAACATACCCGAGGTCTGCGTGTTCTTCGGTACAAACTTATTGCGCGGCAACCGGACAAGCAAGGCATCCGCAAGCTCCTTCGAGGCCTTTCACTCGCCGAATTTTCCATCCCTGGCCACGGCGAACATCAAAATCGAAGGTTGAACAGGTTCAAAGAAAGAGAGCGCTCTGTCCGCAGTCTCTCTCTCTCTCTCTAAGATTTTTTCCTAAAGTTCAAACAAATAAGCGGAACATTTCTATCGAACAGAATATTTCAAAAACGTTAAATTTTGAAGTCTCTATAAATATAAATAATCTAATTATTATAATATTGTAAATAATATTTTTTAACGATATTAACAATAACTCATTGCAAATGATTCTTTTACTATTAATTAAACTAAAAGCGCTAACAGTGCATAATTACTAGTATTCTTCTTTTAAAAGAAACGATTCTAAGTTTACTGATAAAATTTTCGAAAATTCTATATATATGGTGTGTTCGAAGATGATGTTCCTTCGCAGTGGACTATCGCTTGGTTTTCCACTCGTGCACTTTGGAGAAGTTCTACGTGCATGCATCGCTCAATCGAAATGTAGGCCTGCTCCGACTGTTTCCCAGCATCACATCCGATCTGGTAAAGGTGTTTCTTCAGCCGCCTATCGAGGGGGTCGTGCTACAGTCCTACGGCACAGGGAATGTCCCGACAAATCGCGACGATATCATCGAGGAATTTCGCGCGGCGACAAAGCGCGGTGTAATTATCGTGAATATCACGCAATGCACAACCGGATGCGTCTCGGATGCGTACGAAGCTGCAAAGCTGCTTCAAAAAAGTGGTACAAGACATTATTACATGGATAAGTGTTAATAGCTTTAATACACACAGTTGTTCGATTGTTGTTTGTAAATAATTCTGTAAGAGAAAATTTTTTTCTCTATAAATATTTTATTGATTTTATACAATATTAAGTTTTAATTCTCTATCTTCTTCCTAAGCTTTTTGGAAAAAGTTGTGTATTAGTCAAGAGATATCTCACATTAAGATAAACGTTGACAGAACTATTATGTGAGATTTATGCAATATAGAATGCATGACGAAGGAGAGAGTTATATAAACATAAATATCTCTTCGCGCGTTCAAGGTTCAAATGTTATCTACTCGTTAATAAATATTCAGCTCGCTGCGATTAAATCGTTATTAATATGCAGGAGTAATATCGGGATTTGACATGACTCCGGAGGCCGCGTTGACGAAACTCGCCTACGTCTTATCGAAACGCGAATGGGACACGGAAACCAAACGGCAAATGATGGAAACCAATTTGCGGGGTGAATTGACAGCCGGTCGATCGCCCATGATGCAGGATTGCGATTTGGTGGAGGCTGTTGCTAGATCCTTGAGATTGTCCTCGGCGGCGGAGCTACAGGAGCTGGGATCGATCCTGTTCCCGGCTATGTTGGACGCCGCGGTGATCAGGCGCGACATCGTAAAACTTGAATCGTTACAAAGATATGTCAGTAATCTTTGCTTTCATTTAATTTTGCATCAAGACATTTTGAAAAACCAGTACATATTTTAGATATTTTTCCGTCTCTTTCCACATTATTCGACTTCTCTCTCTATCATTATTTAGGGAAAGTTTAAGAATATCAAAAATTAGAATATATCATATTGGAAAGAATAATAGTCAAATAGTAAATCTAAATATTCATCATAATAAGCTGATTACACTAATTAAATATTAATTGGATATTGTAATGTAAAAATGATGTAAAATTCTTGCAGGTGGGTTATTATTCTAATCAGCTTTTTCTATTCAGGGTGCTAATGTCTCACAAGCGAACGCAGATGGCCGAACAGCTTTGCACATAGCTTGCTGCGAAGGAGATTTAAAAGTCGTGCGACGTCTACTAAAGATGGGTGCAAACGTTCATATTAAAGATCGGTTTAATCGTACATCTCTAACCGATGCGATCGAGTACGATCGTCGCGAGGTGAGGACAAATTGTGAAAATTGTCTATTTTTGAAACTCTACTATCGTATTCCTATTCTATGAATTTTTAAAGAATTTCGGATACTCAATTGAAATCATAGAAATAAATTCTCAGCATTTTCCAAATCATTGATCTCACTATAAGTATCTCACATGAGACTATCTCTATGTTATAAAAAGTTTACATTATTTATACAATCTTATTAACAATTATTTATATAATATTTATATTTATATAATATTATTAACAAAAAATCTTGATAGCTTTCACAGTCTCATTGTCAGTTTAATCCGGAAGATATTATCGTTTCACATTAATCGGCAGACTAGAATCATCGATCGTTTGCTTCATCGACAGAGCGTTAACAGCACAGGTGTTTCCGTGATCTTCCAGATCATCAAAGTATTGCTGCAGTGCGGCGCGCATCTTCATGACAATGCTCTGCTGATAGGAGAGCGGATGTGTACGGCCGCGGCCATCGGAAACACGAAGCGCTTGCAATCGTATCTGTTGGCCGGCGCCGATCTGTCGCAAAAGGATGTCTCGGGACGCACCCCGCTACACTTCGCCGCTCTTCACAATCACACGGAGACGATCGAGTTCCTGCTGGACCACGGCGCGGATCCGCGATGCGTCGACATGCTGGGACAAACCGCGGCGGAACTCGCGGAAGCCGCGCGAGCCACGGACGCAACGCGCCTGTTGACGCCTTTCAGAATGATCGAGGCAAAATCGCATACGTAGATGCAAGGTCTTAATTTTTTTGCCTGATATATATTGAATCGAAAGCGAAAAGGAGCGGAGAAAGATTGTATCTTAGAAAAATTACGAGTTCCGCCTAAAGTCTGCGCTAACCGCGACTTGTTCTATTCCTTCTTTTCACAAAATTTAATTATTTATATTTTAATTATAAAATTTATATTGGGCGGAAAAAGAAAATGTGTATTTAATACAAATTAGTTCTAACAATAAGATAGATACAATCGGGTCTTAAAGACTGAAAAGTATGTCATAGGATTTTGGATAGAAATAGGCACAACATATTGAAATACAACATATGTGCATTTAAATATTTTTAAATATATAATTTTAATAACAAATAATAGAGTTGCACAGTTTTCAGTCTGTTGGATAACAGACTTAACATTTTTATATACAGCTGAATTGTATGTATATTACAACGTGTATTATTACGATACATTTTATGATAAACACAAAACTTGAATACATATATATATATATTTTAGATTTTTCAGATGAATGTAGACACAGGAGCAAGGAATAGTAATATTTGTATAATTTTATGTTTTAAAACAGTTATATGTTAATAATAGTAATAATCCTGTGATAGTTTAAAAACTGATAATTGCCGTGATTATTTTAATTGAGATTTATTATTTTTATTGCTTGTATTAAAATCGAATTACTATCTTATTGCATTTCTGATCTTGAATAATGCATTTTTTAAATATATTTTTTAAACAATCAAAAGTTTCTAAATCCTAATAAACATAAAAAAATATATCACCCCGCGTATCTTTTTCTTGCTCAGAAAATCCCATTTTTATATTACATCATTTTCTATGAAAGTTTCAAACTCTTTCACGTGAGAAAAAATCTAGAAAAGTATATTTATATTTTCTTTAATTTCACCTGTAGTGCTATAAAAAAAAATTAACATCATAATTTTATTCAAAAATAATAGATGAGAAAGAACTGATATACGATAAATCAAATCATTGTATTTACTAAAATGACTGTGATTTTCCTGCGATTATGAAGAAAAAGAAAAGTAAAAGCGCATCGAGGTGTCATCTAAATTGCACGTAGTGAGATTTCTTAGACGCGACGAAATTTCACACCTCGTGCATCGGAATAATGTAGATCGACTTCCCTGATGTAACTCGCTCGTTACACCGCGAGTGATTTCAAAATTGAACGTGAGATAGATTCGCCAGTCTTTGACGACAATGGTGGACAAGCTTTTGTAAAATTCACGTGTGATAGGCCGTTCCTGCAATGAATAACAAGGATATGTGCGATGGCATAAAGAGAAACATATGAAAAATCGCGTACTCCGATCAATAATACCTTTAATTAACATTTCGTGCGTCGAATGTCAAACGTCAGATTGCGCCGAATTGCATCATTACGCTTTTAAGGATTCGCGGTGTCACAAAACACTCCTTGTAAACACGCCCGCAGTCGTGATGTCTCTCTCGTCCTATTCTTATAGCTTCCTGAAGGACTGTGCCGTTCGTGAATTCCTTAAACCACTCGTGACTGTTCAGAAATATTTGAATTTATAAAAGTAAAATGGAATTTTTCATGTAATTAATTAAATAGTTTTTCGTGTAATTCTGTAATTTAATTTGTATCTTGCGTGTTAATAATCTTCTTCTGCAATCTAATTTGTATCTTGCTTTTTAATAATCTAATAATTAATTTTTTCTAAAAGCAAGCAATTAACGCGTTCGTATCATGAATGTTAATATCACTGAATGAAGCATATACGATTAACGATGATTGTCGACAATAACTAAAAAAAAAATCTTTCTTCTTATTTTAATCATTATTTAATCATTATTAATTATTATAGCGCTCGAGAATAAATTAATTGTTTTATTCTGTCTTTTGCTTTCGCACGTTACATAACATTTGTTTCAATTCGCTTCTCTAATCTATTTTATCCGAATTTCACAAAATTTATATATATTTACTTAATTAAAAAGTATATATATTTATTTAATTAAATTAATAAAAAAAGGTGTTGTTAACCCTTATAAATAAATAAATTTTCTCCATTCAAATATAATATCATATTTTATGGCTATTTCTAATTTCTTTTAGATTAATCGGATCAAAATTTAAGATACGAAATAATGCTTAATTTTATTTGTTGTTAATTACACTATTGCAGGAAAATTATATACAGATTAATCATACCTTGACAAGCCATCAATGATCTTGTCAGTACTCGTAGGATTGTTGGAGTGACTCGCCTCGGAAATGATGGAGCAGATAATGCGCTGTATACAGGGTGTGACGTAATTATTGCCGAGCATGATCTCGTTTATCGTATTTCCCATTCGAGACCATTGCGAGTCAGAACCTGCGAATAAACTCATTTTCCCAGATAAATGTATATTTAAGAGATATATTTATACTTAAATTTAAATTTAAATTTAAATTTTTAAATTTATATTTAAATCTTTATTTATTATTGGATATATTCACACACAGATCAACAACTTGTTATAAATAAAACAAAGATTCATACTTCGATAATGCATTCCAGGACCTGGCTTCGACAAGACAGGTACAGCTAAGGTGAGAATGGCTGTTAATATGCCAGCGATCGACAATCCTTTCGTATTAACATCAATCAACGGTGTTATCTCATTATGTTTGTTCATATGACTCAGCGGTATCCTGAAAAAGGGTACGGACACGTCCCAATTGATCTGGAAAATTTATCGAAAAGATTTATTTATCAAAGAGAATGAAACTTGAGTAAAGTAATCATTCATTATCAAATATTCATTGACGGATAATTACGGAACACTTCGTAGAGAACTGCGAGACATACGCACGTATGTTTTGGAAAATATTTTTATACAATTGCAGAGAATACTTACTTCGATATCTCCTTCTTTACTGTTAAACGAGACGAATTGTGGCTTTTGACTATTGATAAATAAACTGTTTAACTTCGTGGACGTTCTCGCGTCACCGTCGCCGATGACGCGCGCGAAGAATAACGCAAGAGGTAAAAGAATCAGGATAGTCGAATCACTCGAAAGAGCCCTCATATCTTGCTCGGGTCGTTAAATCGAGCAGAATGTTAATACTTTCTCTTCGATTCACGGTGCTTTCGTTACCTTCAACTTTCCACGAAGTAATGGGATGCATTTGCGCCACCCGAGGGTTTTTCAACGACGAGTGCAGAGGACCCCCACCTCACTGACACGACTTATTCGCAACACGTGCTCGCCCACCCCTATCGAAGCAGGAAATACCGATTTCTCGCCGCAGAATTAACAAACCCAGGCGGCGAAATCGTTGCGGCTGCAAAAGATATTAGTCGCCTTTACACGTCAGGCAGCGGCTTGTTGGTCTTATCTTTTTTTTTTTCTTTTTTTTTTTGCACGGACTCGTTGCATCGGACCCCGGTAATTACGACGACCGTTTATTATGAACGTCGCGGATTATGAACGCGAATTTTCACCGCCGGAGAAAGAGCGTGCCCACGTGCGACGAAATCAGAATTAGAGATAGACCCGGCCGACCGTGGCTTTCGACGAATTTTCCGGGGCACCGTCCAGAACGAATTCCGTCGTGCTTGTGCCGGGGAGAGCGCGACACGCGAGTTTCGCGAAGAAACCGGGGGGCTCTTCGATTCGCACTCCATCCTTTTCCACCTTCACCGAACGTTTGCAAACGCGCCATCTTTACGACGGGATCTCTTTTTCGCGCAAAATTTCTTTCACCGGAAGGACTTTGATACGTGATCTTGTAGCGTAGATCCTGCTGGTCGCATCCGCTTCCGCAGCCTCTAGTATTTATAAATCTTTAAATACAAAACACTATAAAGAAATTTATATATTTTATAAGACAGCCTTTTCTCTAGAGTTTCTTCTGCCTCTATAATTCTTCTTTCGCAAATATTTTTTTTCTGGGTTTTTTTTTTATCTTTTATATGTGTGTATGTATATGAGCATATAAAATATTTTTCATAAAAGCATTATTTCTATAAATTCTCTCTATATATTTTCATTTTAAGTCTGTTTTAGATGATCTCTAATTTGTATAATAGAATTCTATAATATTATATATGTAAGTATAATAACGATTTTATATTAAAATGTAAAATTCTGTCATAAATTATTGTATATATAAAATATCTAAAATAGCCTCTGCTATATACTTATATATATACTGCTATATGTATATATATATAT